GAATATACCCTTTATGCAATAATAATGCAATTATGAATGAAAAGAAATAAAAAATGCATGTATGCAAAAACTCGTGTTACAACGATGATGCATCGTGGAAGTTGCAACACGATTCCTATTCTAGTTCAAACAATGCAAAAATCGAGAGATTTCCTTAAATTAGAAAACCCCTCATAATCTAATGTCTTGGTGAATATATCCGCTAAATGATTCTCGGTCCCTATGTACTCAATGCAAAATATGTATTTCTCAACTAAATCCCGAATAAAGTGATGTCTTATATCTATGTGTTTTGTGCAAGAATGTTGAATCGGATTTTTTGAAATATCAATTGCACTCTTGCTATCACAATATACGGTTAAGAAATCACTATGTCGGCAATAATTCTCAATCATTTGATTTATTCGTAAAAGTCGACAACAAGAAACATTTAATCTCATATCATGCAAAGACACCATATTATTCACAAGCATGCTCTCAAAAATGTCATTAACTCTATTGAAAACAGTACACAATTTTCTTACCATGGGATAAAAAAATCTACCATTTGTTACCTCACCAACGGATCCCGACAAAGGATGAGATCTACTAACTACTCTTTCCCGATCAGTAGCATCTACATCAGATCGTATCTCAGCCTCGGAAGTGGTATTCTGGTTGGCGGAAATATGTGTCGCCTCAGATGCTGTGTCTGGTGTCGTGTCAGGTGTCATGACATCTGGGGGGACATCTGGGACGACATCTGGAGCAGCACTTCGTAGCGGAAGGTCCAACAAGTCCCGAATGTCATCCTCAGCATTTTTGACCCGGTAACAATTTTGGGTAGTTCGTACACCTGTCAAAATACATGAATTAGACTCATCAAAAACTTCACAAGACTTACTATCAAATTTAACATAGAGATTATCATCACAGAGTTGACTTATGCTAATCAAGTTAGCCTTAAGTCCATCAATCAAAAACACGTTTTGAAGCTTTGGGAGACCATCAACATTGAGGGTTCCCCTTCCTATGATCTTTCCATGTTCGCCTCCCCCGTACGTAACACGTCCACCTTCATATGATTCTATGTCGGACAAGAAATCACGAGTGCCGGTCATGTGCCGCGAACACCCGCTATCAAAGTACCATGATCCTGCAATATTAGACTTCAAAGAAGTATGAATAACATTGCATTTCAACTCAGATTTTGGTACCCAAACAAATTTTTCTTTAGTTCTACTTTCGTGATTTTTGGGCATATTACGAGATACGGGAGGCACCTCTGGTTCAAAAGACCTATCAAATGAATGCAATTTATAACAATAAGGTCTAATGTGCCCGGGTGCATGACAATAATGGCAAACATATCGACGCCTTCGTTGTTTAGTATTCTTAAAAACCTTAGGCGTGAATTTTGAGTCATACTTACCTGTTTCCTCCGATGGATGCACAAATATGGTAGGCTTAAACCCAAGTCCCACTTTGTTATGATTATGTTTAAGAGCAGCTAGGACATCCAATTGGCTCTTACCTGTGTTAAGTCGTTGGAAGGTCTGACGGGAGTATTCAAGTTCCTCTCTTACCTTCACCAACTTTTGGTCATGGCCAGAGATGGTCACCTCCAATTGGGTTATGGTAGACTTTAAAGAATCGTTCTCCTCTTCCAACTTTTTAGTCTCTGACTTCATCCTCTTATTCTCATCCTTTAACTTATTATTCTCCTTCTCGACCCTATTCGCTTCGTAGACGGCATCTATATAACGTTTATGAAGTTCCACGTACACCTTTTCATGATCATCAAAGTTAACGAATTGAAGGCTGCTCGGAGGACCTATATCCATGCCTTTAGCGTCACAAAACAAGGTGTTAAGACAAAATTCAGAATTTTTATTTACATACCTGCCGGGTGTCATGACACCTCGGCCGACACCTGCTGGATCAATTTGTTTGGGCCTGAATTCGCTCACACTGGTCACAAAGGCAGCATCCCCATCATTTTCAGCTTCACTTTCAGCGGAACCGGTATCAAATTCATCATCATCGCTCAAAGTGGCGTTGAAGTTCAAGCCCCTTTTGCGCAAGGTATTAGCACACTTATTTGCATAGTGCCCATACCCTTTGCAAGCATTGCATTGGACGGTCTCAAGTGACTTCGGGTTGAACTTTCTCCTATCGTTGAGTTTGGCCTTTTCACCGGTTGGATTCAATCGGTTCGAATGAGGTGGAGTGAATGACCTTGGCCCTCGGGACCTCGAGGCTTGGGAGTTGGTTTGAGAATTTCTTCTCTTTAGCAATGATGTGAAGCGTCTCGTCATGTGTGCAACTCCTTCTTCATCAAACTCATTTTCCTTCATATCACGAACTAGATTCTCTAAATTATCTTCATTCTCGGAGACAGACTGAAGAGCGATTCCCTTCCCCTTTCCGAAAGATGCACTCTTTTCTTCGAGATCTTGCACCTCAAGATTCATCTCGAACGTCTTCAGAGAGCCAACAAGATCATCAAATTTAATGGTCGTCACATCCTTCGAAACATCAAGCGCCGTGATGATCATGTTGAAACGCTTTGGAAGAGATCTCATTACTTTTGCCACGAGCCTTTCATTTGAGATCGGGTCCCCAAGGGAGTGACATTCATTGACAATACTCATCAACTTGGCCGTGTATGAAGAGATATTCTCGTTTTCGAGCATTCGAATTGTCTCAAATTTTGCCGCAAGAAGACGCAGCCTCGTTTGACAAACACTCCTCGAACCCTCACAATGACGTTGCAAGGTGTCCCATGCATCTTTGGCAGTAGTGCACGTGCTAATTAAGCGAAACATGTTCTCATCGACCGTGCCAAAAATTGCATTGAGTGCTTTTGAATTGAAGTTGGCCAACATGCTCTCACCCGTACTGTACTCGTCTTTATTTTTCTCGTGTTTCTCCCCTTCAATTTCTATAGTAGGAGGCTCCCATCCGGATAGTACAGATAACCAAGCCCGTCCATCAATGGATTTAATGTAGGACGTCATACGCATCTTCCAAATGGTGTAATTTGAGCCATCGAGAATCGGAGGCCGAAAAAGCGAAGTTCCGTTGAACTCCATGTGTACCTATCAAGACAGAATCACACTTATTAAATTAAGCGACCTTCTCTGATATCACTTGTAAGAATTTTAGGTACCGAAAACTCCAGATTTTCACACAAAGATCAAAAATAAAATACGCAGCGGAAATAAATAATACGAAAGATTCAAAATTTAGCCTACAAGTGAATATACACTTGTAGACTAAGGCCACATGCCGAAACTCCACTAGAACAAATTATTCACAAAATTTTTCATCCAATCCAAAAATATCTAGTGAACTATAAAAAACACAAAACGCGAGTTCGACACTAATATGCACTATATCACTTCAGATAATCAAATGAATCATGCCAAAAGAAAAATAGTAAAAAAGCAAGCTGCTCCTTGAAATCTCCAATCAAACCACGCAGCCCTTTGTTCCAAAAATCACAATTTGTGCTGCTATTATTTGCTTGTTGAATCCCACTTGTGCTGCTCTTAATTTTTCAATTAAAACCCTTGCAGCTCTAAGAAAAAATATGTGCTACAACACTCAAGTTGTTGCTCCTTGGAACCAAAGAATTCCACGCTGTTGCTCCTCCTCTTTTTCAAAAACGTACGCTGCTCTTCTTGATAACTCACCCACACCGCGTCTCCCTCAAAATCTCTTTTCCTTCTTATCTTTTTCTTTCCTAGCAAGACACCTAATAACACAAGGAAACCAAATAATAAAAGGGAACCAAATAAAAACAATATTATACTAAATATAAAATAAATACAAAAATATGCACAAATAAATCAGAAAAGTAAAATATTTATTCTAAAATACGTATTTAACAGACTGCTAATTTAAATTTCTTCCTGCAGTTTTGTCAATGGGTAACTGATGATTTGCTTGATTTAGTAACGAACTTAACGCAATGAGTTATGTTTCATTGTGTGTCTTAGGTATGGTTGTCAAAACTACGGGACCAGCTGATCGAACCGAATCAATCGTTTGCTTACTTTTTATTAGTTTTAATTTTAATATCTTTAAATATATTTCTAACAGAAATGAAAATACATATTTGACTATATTGGCTATTGGATATATGTAAATTCCTATATCAAATTGAAATATTTGAATTATTTAAGTACCTAATAATTATGTTTTTTATACATAATATTCATTACGAAAGTACTATATAAATATTTAACTTAAAGTTTGGCTGGTTCAACTATTGATCCAATTGAACTTAAGATCTTGTTGCTTCATCGGATTGATAACTTTTGTTATTATGAGAACCTTCATTTTAAGGTAATCCTCCCTATATCTATTATCTAGTCTCAAAATGGGAGCCTCTGGCAGGCTTAATCGCACACTTCGAGATTCTATGTAGCAAACTATCAAAGCTTTATCTTTTGGCTTAGATAAGTTTTAATTTACTTAGAATCTAAAAAAAATGAGACTTGGAATAACGATAAATATACTGGATATTTATGACTTTTTTTAGGAGCAATTATTAGTTATGTTTTAATATTATTTTCTATTCTAAAAGTGGTTTATAATGCATAAATCTTTTTCCTAATCTTTTTCTTTTCATCAGTCTTTCTTTTAAATTAGAAAAAAAAAATCTAACTTAAATTATAAATATATTTTAAAAGTTAGTAATTTTTGAATTTATTATATAAAAATTGTACATTATATAACAAATTAATCATCTCTTGATGAGCTTTGATTTGACATCTTTATTGTACATAAAAAATAAATAATTATGCTTACCTTTATAAAAAAAAAAAAAATTATCTATTATTATTATTTAGAAAAATTAAAATTATTTAAATTAATTTAACTACAATGTAGTTATATGATGTAAGTTAAAATAATATTTTAAATAAAATGAGTAAGTCCTATAATTGATAATTCTCCTGGCATAGTGCTAATAATGAACTAGATCAAAATGGCTCAATTAAATTCTAGTGCTTCTTCTATTAGTGAAGTTTCTAGAAAAAAAAATATATCAAACGGCGCAATGCACCTTGGGTCGCTATGGAAACAGCCTCCTTGTATAATTACAAGGGTATGGTCTGTGTACAACTGATCCCCCAGACCCCAACCTGTTGGGAATATACTGGGTATGTTGTTGTTGTTGTTGTTGAGTAAGTCCTATAATTGACGGTTGTCATTTTAAATATAAACTAGTACGTAACGCGTGCGATGCACGGGATGTAAAATTTGGAAGAATAATATAACCTCACGTGCATTAGGATCGAAATTGAAATCATTAAAATACATAAGAACATTGTTGAATCATAAAAAGTTCGGTAATATGAGTTTGATTATTTGGTAACTCCTCATTATCACAAACTAATATTTTCAAAAGAGACAAATCCTAAAAATCAAACTAATATTTTTAGTGAACAAACTAATATTTTAGGATTGGTGAACAAACTAATATTTTAGGATTTCTAGGATTTGTCTCTTTTTGGTGAACAAACTAATATTTTAGGATTTGTTATATGAATAAGGCTACCTGTTTTTGGTGTTCTTTTCATTCATTTTCATTCAAACAATCCGATGACTTGTATAATGAAATCCAAATCTTAAGCCGAAATATTTAAAAAAAGAGTTTTTAAAAATTGAAAAGTTAAGGCAATCAGTTCAGATTAATTAAAGGTCAAAGAATATCCGCTCCTTGAAATAAAGACGTGTGTTATCATTAATCAAATATCCGGTTATTGATATAAAGTGGTTACCAAAAAAATAGAACGCGATAAAGGCGCTTCATGGAAATATCAATCGGATAAGGTCATAATACATCGCTATACATTTTAACGATAAAAGCTCAGATGGAATGATTTATGATAATTATGTCGTAATTAATGAATTAATTAGATGTGTGAAAAGGACATAATTAATGAGAAGTGTGAAAAGGACAAAAACTTACCGGTTTTGGAAAATATTTAATGCAAATCAGACATTGACCATAATTTGACCTACTATTTTGGATAAATGTTAATTCTTATTATATAAGTATAGATAATAATATTGTTTTTCAAAAAGTATTTGAAATTCAAAATAATATTTTATTATTTTAATTTTAAATATAAATTTTTTACCAAACTAATTGTGTGATACACATGTATTGTACTAATAACAAATTACTCTTGAGCCTTCTAATTCATAAAATCACTACTTGACATTCCCCGCTAAAAACAACCCTCACACTAGTGCTTACATATCAAATACCCCTTCCTGCAGATGTAGTTTGTGAACATAAACTAGTGTCAGGAGGATCATTTGTAATTCTAAAGGGTAACTTCTCATGCCATGGCTAAATTTCAGGGGTAGTTTTCTAATTATTTACGTGTTTTATTTTCTATTTTGTTCAAGGTTGATCTGCATAAGCATATACAAAATGAACAGATAGACAACTAAGTGACTAACGATAATCTATGTTGATCATCTTACAGCTGCAAATGAATTTCTGCCAGTATCTTATACTTCTTCATGATGCTTTGAACTTTGGCAAAGTTTAATACCATATCTGAATTCTGATGACTGATCGACAAACAAGCACTTCTAGTTTTCGAAGTATGGGTGTGTTTGGTGAGTTCTATTGTCCAACAATATTGCTTGGGTGTTCTCCAAGAAAGAATCCAGTACATTTGAAAAGTTTTAGGATGTGATTTTTGTGTAAAAGAATTACTCTTTTTATTTAAAATTGTATTGAGAATGTGATTTTTTATGTAAATACTAGCGGCAAATGGCCGCGCGGGGTTATTCTTTTATGATGTATATTTTTTAGTTTCTATTTTGCCACACATTTATTTTTATAGCTAAAAGAAATATATTATTTATAGGAATATGAAAATATTTGTGTTTTTTTAATTTTTATATTGTAAAGCATTTGAAGAACAAATTAAAATTCCTTTATATTTACAAATGAGCATTGAATGACTTATATTAAGTACCAAATGAATGAAGGAAAATCAAAATCCAACTCAACAATATAAGACAGGAAACAAGAGGATGGCACAATCCAAGCTTGTTAGACAAAAACGCCTGGTCAAATAAACATGAAAGTGTAGAAGATGTGCATCAACTGTATAACAATCCAAACATCATTTTTCAAACACACACACACATCTAACCACTGTTTTATTTTCGTATAGAATCCAAGTCTATGAGAAAATCAACATACTTTAATAGATTTTAGTTTTCACAAATTCAACTAAATCATTAGCATAAATAATCAAAAGAACGATAAAATAAACTTGTCTTCACCGTTGGTTTTCTAATATTTTCAGGCAGCTACTTTCATCAACAACAACTGAAAGAGGGACCGGACAAAAGTCAAGCCCCTTCAATAATTTCATAAGAAATATTAGGAAAAATGAATGTGAAAATCTCACCTTAAACGCCTAGAACCGAAACTTGTAGAAATTGTGAAGGAAAATGTAGATCTAAGCCCTTGAACTGCTGGAATATCCAATTCAATCTCTCCAATATGCTTCCTCGAGTCACCGGTTCAAGGCCAAACGATTAATGTTAATGGGTTTAGGATGTTCATCAATCGAAAATAAGATCGAATAATTGAAAAGAAAAAATCATATGAAACAAAAAAATATAGGGCAAAAAATCATATGAAAGAAAAACGTGCAAAAAGTTTTCAACAACTTTATTTAAGAACTAGTGTGAATCCTCTGCGATGCACATGTAAGAAATTTTTATTAATATTTATAAATTAAAAATATCAATTAAATAATATTTATAAATTAAAAATATTAGATCAATATGTAAAACAATTTACTTATATTAGTTTGTTGAAAATGTTATATGAAATTTAAATTGTGTAAAATTACGTAAAATATTTATATTTATAGCACACAACCCGTACTGTGCACATAATTGATAATAAATTACATTATATTTATTCAAAATAAGTGTCATTTTAAAAAATTTATTCAGAAATTTGATTTGACTACAATGTAATTCTATAATATAATTATTTTGGTAAAATTTTAGCATATATTTAAAAATCTATGTGAATAATAAGTAGAATTATAAAACTTATATTGTTTCATTAATTAAAATAAATTTATTTATTGTATAAACTATCCAAATAAAAAATTTAAGTAGTTGAGTAATTTATTAAACTATAAATAATTGATTATTCCATTTATTCTAAATTGGACTACGCAATAAATTTTATCATATATATATATATATATTGTCTCGCAATTTTTAAGATTTGTTGTCACTTACCTTATTGTTCAAATTTATCAACTCATTATCTATAACTAAGTTATAAATTTTAAATTTTATTAACCAACATTTGTTCAAAGATCTCTGATTTTCAAGAAAAATACATAACAATTTTTCGAGTTATCATCAATATCTTATGACAAGTTATTATGAGAATATGCTAAAATTTGGGAATCGTATTGCCTTGATTTTATAACAAATCAACCTAAATTTTGACTTTCATACCCATACCAAATAAAATTCATACCACTTATTTTGTTTACAAATTTTCTAAAAACACTTCTATCAATACTAAATAAACTTCATATCATTTAAATCCTGACTTTTCATACAAAATAAAATCTCCCTCTGTTTATTCATTATAATAATCAACTATTATTTTATCCTTAAACTTGTTGTCGTAAAACACGTATTAAGACAATTTTTTAAATTAACCACCAATTTTTATGATATGCAAATATTTTGATATATCTATATTAACCACCAAATTAGATATTCATATTTAGAAGAATCGGAATTTTATTAACCACCAAAATTTATTCTATGTAAATTTTATTAACCACCAAGTTTATTAAGATGTAGCATATACACGGTGGTTAATATAGTATATAATAAATTGAGATAATTTTTTTAACATAGATAGATTTAATGTATTAGAATATAATTCGAATTTCCCCAAATATGGGATTTAATCAAATCAATGTTGTAACTAATTATCATTTATTTACTACTTCAAAAATATCTATTGTTAATTTCATAGATGAAATGTTGAGGCTAAGTGTTATTAATTGCAATGGATATAGAATGTTGCGGTTGTGATATATATTAAGGAAGAATCTTTATATATATTCAAATTAATAGATAAATTTATTTCCATAATAAATTAAAATTACCATAAAAGAAAATAAAAATATTTTTTAAATTTGAAATTAAAGTTCCATTGTCGGGTTTTTACGATTTTTTTTCAAAAAATTTTTTTTACCAAGTTTAGTAATTTTAAAATTTTTTGATTTAAAAAAAAAGTTTTTATATATGTATATACATATAGATGTAATAATATTTTATATATTATTCTATTATTGTGGACCATATAAATTAATTGGACCTAATTGAATTAATAGTCAAACTTAATTAAGATGAATATGTATTTAATGGATTATTAATGTTCTAATATAAAAGAGTACAATTTGTGATGTTTGACTTGGACAGTAAGTTAGGTTAGAACATGGGGAATGTTAGTAAGAATAGGTTTGTAGGATTCCTCCTATATATACTACATGCCCCTCTCTCCCATCTCATACGCAAATAAAGTTCTCAACATCAAGGGCTTTATGAAAAGACGAGAGAAGCGGGAGAGAGAAACAATTCATAGGCAAAGGGGAATCCATCATTGGAGATTATGAGAAAGATAGATCCATGACATTACGAGGACGAAGAGATCGCAGATCAACATCATAGATCAAGAAAACAGGGAAGGACTATAAGCTGGATTCTTGTAAGTTCTATGTGCAATTTAATTTATGCAACGATCCATATTCTATGAACTGATAGAATTACATGCTTAGGGTTTATTCAATTCCGCCTGATAGTTATGAGTATGCCCGTTAAATTTCTTACATGTGGTATCAGAGCATGTGTTTATGCATATGATTAAGTTGTCGATCACCAGTTTAATCACGTCATGATATGTGAATTAAGATTGCAAATTAGTGCCGTCAATTGTTATTAATTGCCGTACTGCTCTAAAAAATAATTGTTGGACTCTTAACGGAATTGCGGTCTTGCGAATTGGGTGCATATTATTGTAGTGCTTCTCCGAATTGCGTTCAAGAGTTTGTTTCTTTGGAATTCACCTTGAATTTCTCTTAATTACCTGACAATGAAATAATTGCATGACACTGGGATTTTGGATTCTTGGATGTCTTAATTGACTTTTCCCATTATAATACTGAAAATCAATGGTTTATTCAACCTCATGGTTTCTGGTTATTTACATTGATTTAATTATTTACTGAATGACCAACGATTGGATTCTTGAAATTTTATGAGGTTTATTTCAAATAATTTGTTTAGCCATAACAGTTTTGAAGTTAAGCTTTCAGTTCCGTATAAAATATTTTCTTCGGGATTGATTGAGGCTACTGAATGCTTTTGTCCAATGTTCACCTTATTTATTTGATATGAACTATAATAGAGTTTCCTGTATAGCATGTTGGAGATTAATTATAGTAAGAGTAATCTCATAATATAAGCAATCAAATGAATTATTTCCTATTATATTATCTATGAAAAGAAACTAGTTAGTCACCAAAGTGGCCTAGTTTAATTTATGGAATAGATAATTAAATTAGATGAAATATCCTTAAAATAAAATATTATCTACTTATATTATCTATGTAAGAAACTAGTTAGTCACCAAAGTGGCCTAGTTTAATTTATGAAATAAATAATTAAATTAGATAAAAGTATCAATTATTCAAATATAAGACGATGTCTTATTAATGTACCACAATATTATAATATTTGAATAATTGATGTTATAGATTATAAACTAGGAGGACACCCAAAGATGGGCCATGGTTTGTAATATATGACAATAAAAGAGAAATTATATTAAAGTTAGGTTAATTAGTGTGTTTGTCCAAAAATAACCACTAATTAATCACAATACCTATAATTTCTATTAAAGATCTTTCCTCCTAGGCATCAATCAAAGATATTATATATTTAAGTATTTGCCCAAAGGTATATTTAAATATATAATTTAAAAGATTTATGAATCCATTAATTTTATCTCAAAGCTTAATTAAATAGCATGTATTAAAGTTTGCAGCGTTCAAAATTTGGTTATCCGTACAGTATTCAATTGGCTGAACTTCAATGAATGGTCTAAGCATATCCAATTTCAGTTAGGTTCAGTGAATTTGGATATGACTCTAATTATTGATGAAGTTCCCACAACCATTACTGATGAGAGCTCCAAAATAGAGGTAACTCTACGTAGGTTATGTGAGCGACCAAATAGGTTGTGTTTGAATTTATGAAATTAATCACGGTGGATAACATTAAGGTTAATAATACAAAATAATTCCTAAATAAAAAAATCAAGGAATTATCTCCATTTAAAATTGCGGAAAAAGTTGTTGTGGAAAGTTTCATTAACGAGCTCACCACTATAAAAGTTCGACTGATTCTGTTCCATCCATGATCTCGTGACCAACATGTTCAACATATAAGCTAAACTTACAAACATGAGAATGAATGTGATAGACTCATT